ACTCCGGTGAACTACATGAGTGTTAAGTCCGGTTAAAAGTTTATTCTTATGGATGGACTAACTTGTTATTCATTTTTGATATAAGCCCTTTCTGTGATGTCGCTCACACGTCCGACTGTGGCATACTTGTTATTTACTTTTGATATAAGCCCTTTCTGTGATGTCGCTCAGACGTCCGACTGTGGCACCCTTGTTATTTACTATTGATATAAGCCCTTTTTGTGATGTCGCTCAGACGTCCGACTGTGGCACGCTTGCTATTTATCTTTGATATAAGCCCTTTCTGTGATGTCGCTTAGACGTCCAACTGTGGCACGCCTGTTATTTTTTTCCAATAAAAGCCCTTTCTGTGATGTCGCCCAGACGTCCGATTGTGGCACGCTTGTCTTTTACTCTTCAATATAAGCCCTTTATGTGGTGTCGCTTAGACGCCCGACTGCGACATGATTTTCATTTGTTTACCTTTGGAGGCGTCGCTCCAGACACCCGATCGGTTTTCAGTTATTTGTTTTACTTATCATGTCGTACAAATTTTTATTAATGGAATGCACACTATTATTTTGTTCACGACACATTCATGCATGCATTTGTTATATCTTTTGTCAGAACTGTCTTGTGAGTACTTTCAAAGTACTCACCTGGCTTGTTGATTTGGCCAGATGTTGATGAAGGCGATCTCATGGATGAAGAATTCGATAGCGAGTCCGACGCCTAGAGGAATCCCAGTCAGTCTCGTGCGACCCTAGATTTGGTCACTGTATTATATCCGCTTCCGCTACCCCACAAATAAATTCATCGAGCCTCACCTCGACGCTCGATGAGCTGCTAGTTTAGGAGTCAAGTTATCCATCACCACTTTTATCTCGAGCTAGTAGTATGTTACCACACTCACTGTGTCATAACCGCCCTTATGTATAATATTGGCGTGTTTGTAATAAATTGTGAGCATCCTCAGCTCAACCCTGTAATATATTTGATGCTACTGGTCTTCTGTATTCAAGTATTTGTCTACCAGTAAGGATAACTCTTCCTATACTGGAATCAAGAGATCGATTGCTCAATAAGTATTTTATTGAAAAACCGGTCATGACACTAGCCATCTTATGCAACAAGTGCATGTCAGTCGGTGGAACCTATCTCATGTAAGCGTACGTGTAAGGTCAGTCCGGGCCGCTTCATTCCACAATGCCGCCGAACCCATATAGGACTAGTAACGGTAAGCAAATTGGACAAACCATCGCCCACAACTACTTGTGTTATACTCGTGCATAGAATCTACGCATAGACCTAGCTCATGATGCCAATGTTGGGGAACGTAGTAATAATTCAAAATTTTCCTACGTGTCACCAAGATCAATCTAGGAGATACTAGCAACGAGAGAGAGAGGGAGTGCATCTTCATACCCTTGAAGATCGCTAAGCGGAAGTGTTACTAGAACGCGGTTGATGGAGTCGTACTCGCGGCGATTCAAATCGGGAAGATCCGATCTAGCGCCGAACGGACGGCGCCTCCGCGTTCAACACACGTACAGCCCGGGGACGTCTCGTCCTTCTTGATCCAGCAAGGGGAGTGGAGAAGTTGAGGGAGAGCTCCGGCAGCACGACGGCGTGGTGGTGGAGCTTGTGGTATTCCTGCAGGGCTTCGCCAAGCACTACGGAGGAGGAGGAACAGTTGGAGGACGAAGGGGCTGCACCAGGGAAGGGGGTGCGGCTGCCCTCTCTCTCCCTCACTATATATAGGCGGAAAGGGGGAGGAGGAGGGGCCCTAGGGTTTCCCTAGGGGAGGGGCGGCGGCCATAGGGCAAACCCTAGATGGGTTTGGGCGCACCCACCCCTAGGAAACTTTCCCCCCAAGCCGGGAGGGGTGGTTGCCCTAGGGGAGGCACCCCAACCTCTCCAGGTTACGTGAGATGGGGTGGGAGGGGCGCTCAGACCCTTAGCGGGCTGTTGTGCCCCTCCCCTTGGCCCATAAGGCCCCCCAACGCTTGTCGGGCCTCCGAAACCCCTTTCGGACACGATGGTCGTCACCCGGTACCCCCAGAACAATTCCGGACTCCAATACCTTTCATCCAATATATCGATCTTCACCTCCGGACCATTCCGGAGTTCATCGTCACGTCCGGGATGTCATCCGGGACTCCAAACAACCTTCGGTAACCACATACTATTTCCCATAACAACTCTATAGCGTCACCGAACCTTAAGTGTGTAGACCCTACAGGTTCGGGAACCATGCAGACATGACCGAGACACCTCTCGGACAATAACCAATAGCGGGATCTGTTTACCCATATTGGCTCCCACATGTTCCACGATGATCTCATCAGATGAACACGATGTCGGGGATTCAATCAATCCCGTATACAATTCCCTTTGTCTATTGGTATGTTACTTGCCTGAGATTCGATCGTCGGTATCCCCATACCTCGTTCAATCTCGTTACCAGCAAGTCTCTTTACTCGTTACACAATGCATGATCCCGTGACTAACTCCATAGTCACACTGAGCTCATTATGATGATGCATTACCGAGTGGGCCAAAGATACCTCTCTGTCATACGGAGTGACAAATCCCAGTCTCGATTCGTGCCAACTCAACAGACACTTTCAGAGCTACCTGTAGTGCACCTTTATAGCCACCCAGTTATGTTGTGACATTTGGTACACCCAAAGCATTCCTACGGTATCTGGGAGTTGCACAATCTCATGGTCTAAGGAAATGATACTTGACATTAGAAAAGCTCTTAGCAAACGATCTACACGATCTTATGCTATGCTTAGGATTGGGTTTTATCCATCACGTCATTCTCCTAATGTTGTGATCCCGTTATCAATGACATCCAATGTCCACGGTCAGGAAACCATAACCATCTATTGATTAACGAGCTAGTCAACTAGAGGCTCACTAGGGACATGTTGTGGTCTATGTATTCACACATGTATTACGGTTTCCAGTTAATACAATTATAGCATGAACAATAGGCAATTATCATGAACAAGGAAATACAATAATAACCATTTTATCATTGCCTCTAGGGCATATTTCCAACAGTGATCATTAACTTGTATCGCTATTTCGAGATGATGATGAGATCGACATCATTTGTGTTGAGACTATGTTGTACCACTTCGATGATGATGATGAGACATTCCTTTTTCATATAGTTTTAGTGTATGTGTATGTTGTAATTGTATAAAACATGTAAAAATACGAATACAACAACATAAAAAAAAGAAAATACTAGCAGTAGCATGGGGTATTGGAGTAGTAGCAGCACTGCCTTACCAGTAGCGTTGGTTGCAGGGGCACGCTACTAGTATTAGCAGTAGCGATGGACAGAGGCGCGCTACTACTAGATATAGATAGCAGTAGCGCTGGTTCAAACAAGCGCTATTGCTAAAAAATAGTTGTAGCGTCGTAGTTGTAGCGCGCCACCCCACGCTACTAATAGCCAAAAAAAACAGCGCTACTGGAAGGGTTTTCCTAGTAGTGTCTCGAAAGACAGAATAATCCATGATAGCTTGTCCATCAGTCCAAAAGATATTCATTATTGTACCATCATCATCATTTAATTGCATGGCATAGAAAAATGAAGGGTCCTCAGCTTGCTTATTCTTTAGATACTCTGCTAATGTTTGTGCATCTTTGGTCTCCAAATACTTCGAGCGCTCACTTCGTAAGTAATTGTTGCAATCCATTTGCAAGAATGGCATAACATCTTTACCATACCAAAGCTCACACAAATCATATATTTCAGCTTGTTTAATTTCGGATGTCCTCATTTGCTTAATCATGTGGCGGTCAACATCTAAGAGTTGACGCTGCGATCTAAGCATGTGCCTCTTGTCTGGACTTACAAGCTGATGATTGTGCTCGAGCATGACTTTTTGAACAATCCAAATACCCTCCCGATTGATGCTGAATTGAACACGTGCCATGCAATCAGTCCTTGAAATAGCTTGTTCTTTCTTGGGTACATGTGTTGGACGAGTGGCCTTCACACCTGCCTTGCTACAAACTAAATATCTGGCACTTAAAGTGTTATCTGCTCTAAGCTTTCAAGTGGCACTTTCTAATGCTAAATCCTTTTATTTTAGCATAAGAATTGTAGAACTGGCATGCCTCTTCCTCAAATTGAAAGCTCATCCCAACACTTGGAACATTATTTTCATCTTGCAAATCCTGATTGTCCCTTGGTGTGCTGCTCGTCCTCGCCGGAATTGTGTTCCTTGGTGGTTGCTGCAAGGGTAATGAGATCAATCAAGATGGTTTAGAAAGAAGGAATTTCCTAGGAAGGATGCACTAGTATACTGAACTCACCATGGGTGGAGGAGCTGTGGGCAGAGGAGGTTCCGGTCCAGGGGCTGTTGTATATGTTCCACAATCTGGTGCCTCGATGCCGTCATCGGGCTGCGCCATCACCGGCGAGATGGAAGAATGAGATCAATCAAGAATCTTCAGAAAGAAGGAATTTCCTAGGAAGATGGCACTAGTATACCGAACTCACCATGATTGGAGCTGTATGCAGAGGATGTTCAGATGGAGGGGTTGCCGTATATGTTCCACGATCCCGTGCCTCGCTGCTGTCATCGGGCGGCGCCATCTTGCCATGCCGTCCTGGCGAGATGAAAGAGATGGAGATGGGTTTTCTATTTTGGAAGATGAATCAGTTTAGAAGCTGAAAGGACGGGCGTGGGACATGGGAAACGAGGTCGGCTGGAGGTCGGGCGAGGAAGGATGCGTTGAGATTCGGATGTCCAGTTGGCGCACGAGGGAGTAGGTCTCACGATCGGGTCGTTACGACCCGGTCGTATAGGATTTTTTCCCGAAACAAATATACCATGGTGCTACCAGAATGCCGAACCACTAGACTAGACAAGGAGCAACACAGTAAAAGCATTTCTTTAAGTGAAGAAACGCGGGGTGGATACAGGTGACTCAAATAAGCCATGTGTATCAGATTAGCACACTTATAAATCACCTCCATCGTCTATGTCATCTCAGTCTTCATCTCCGTCCTCTTCGACATCTTCCTCATTGATCTCGGAGTCATCTTCAAGATCCCCGCTCGTCTCAGAGTCATCACCATCCCCTTCAAGATCCTCACTCATCTTAGAGGCATCATCATCTCCATCTTCAAGTTCCTCCAGACCTGCACAAAGAAACGATGATCCATGATTGGGATAGCAAACATTTGTGTTAAGAAATTCCTTTAGCCAGCAGACCCAATAAATGAAAAAACATTCCCCACTGAAAGCATTGGAATAAACCAGTTTAGTAGATCTCCTACATACCCATCTCATGCAATTGGGGACACCACCTGAATAAATTGAAACAAGGTAGCATTCATTAGGTTCTGAAACAAAAAAGACTTCTATAATGCAACAAGCGGATGTTTCTAGAGTAAAGCAACATATACTGTAACAACAATCTATACACATGAGTGAAGAACAAGTTCACCTGTCTGTGGCAGCAATCACTTCCTCATGGAAATCCTCCACTGAGTCATATTGATTCAGGAAATAAACCCCCGTGGCACCCAACACATCGGTTCCTTCAGATTAATCAAAGATATAATTAGTGTTGGTGAAATTTAAAATCCCAACAATATAATGATAAATTAACTAATGAAATGCAGTTGAAGTATCCTATTTTCAGCAAGCAAGTTGGGCATCACAGAATCCTGATATGTGCTAGGTTTTTTTTTCCAAAGGACCGCATAATAACATCATCTACAAGACATATCAACGCAAATCTGCAAATCACTTAAACAAGATGGGTACCAGGCAAGGGATGATATTCGGTGAGCTCCGGTGGAAGCTGCCAAGCATGGAGCAGGCGGGAGGAGAGGTCCGGCATCCCCAAATCTTCAAACTTGTCATACTGCACCACACTAGTGTTGTGCAGGTTGACAGAGAAGATGTGCTTGTCGAGGAAGAAGTAGACCTCGTGTGCCTTGATCGGGTTGACGAGCGCCACAATGGGGATCACGTCCCGGCGCAGCGGCGTCCTTTTGTAGGTCTCATGGTTCCAGATCTCAGCCAGCCGCACTCGGTGCGTCGGATTCCATTGCGCGTCTGAGGGATTGTTGTTGTTGGAGGACAGCGTCCACATGCTGACCACGGGCTCGCCTCTGGGGCCATGGATCTGCATGTACCGCAGGCTGCCCTGGCTCACCTTTAAGCAGCGGTGTATGTCGCCGTTGATTGTGGACGGCGCAAAGGGCAGCTTGTGTTGTACATGGGGGAACTTGATTTGGTGAAGCACGGGTTTGTCGTCGAAGGGGTCGCAGGCGAGTATACAGTAGGAGAAGTCGAACCACCAGAGCAAACCTTGATGGGTGAGAACGCCATCACCGCGCCACGGTTGTTTATCCAAGATTTTGGAGCAGTCGGGCTCCTTCTCGACCCACGAGTACAAGTCGACCGTGCAGAAGAGCGTGCAGAAGACAACTTGTTCGGAAAAGCACGGGCTGAGATCGGCCACCATGAGAAGCCTGCGGTCGTGATTGCGGATGAGGCCGACGCAGTGGCGGCAGTTGAAGCCGCCGTCGTGGGGGAAGATGCCCGTCGTCCTGCGGAAAAACGGATCGCAGATGTACAAGGTGAGCCCGAACGAGGTGTAACCGCATAGCAGAAGGTGGCCGCTGCGGTCGGCGGCTGCGATGTAGGGGTGGTACTCGACCATTCCGGCGGGGCTGGCGACGCTACTCTCCACGAATAGGCGGGAAGGGAGCGGAACCTTGTTGAAGGAGAACGTCGCGTTGGGGAATTTCTGGGTCTTCATCAAATCTTCCGACTCATCCGGAACAGCGTACAAGATGGACCACTGCTCCTGCGCCGCCATGAAGGTCTATTGCTGGGTGGGGGTGGGCGTGGGGATGGGGATGGGAGGGAGGAATTGGATCGATTAGGGTTCCCTGAGATGTGTGCGGGGACGTGCAATGTGGTCGATGGGACCTTCTTTCTATTCTCTCTTCTCTAGTAGTAGTATATAATAAGCTGCACGTCTCCATTATAAACACAAAAATCATAAGATATTTTTATTCAAATTAAAATTATATTATTTGGTAATACTGTCTATATGTACAACTAATCGACATGGAAAATAACATCAGAAAGGAACATCTTTTCAGCATGGAAACCACTATCAACAAGCTAAAGAAAGTCAGGTTCAGTGCAGACATTGTTAAAAAAACTATTGCAATTAGTACCAGGTAAAACTTTAGAAAATCTTTCAACTGTAAGTGTGCACGTAAGTGCTTCCTTTTTTTTGGAGCAAGTGCTTCTGATGTCAAGGAAAGTATACACAACCAAGTTAGGCCTGATGTATTTATGGTTTCATAGAGATATGGCCATACACTTGTTTTCGTCATTAAACACATCACAACTACACAAAGGCAGCAATGGAAATTACAGCAAGAAGTTGATTCATTTCTTCATTTGATGTATAACAAAAAGATCAAACATTCTTAAGCCAACCAGCTATGAACAAAAAAGTTTTCAAGACAAATTAACGAATCTCTCCATAGAAAACAGAAGTGTAAATTATGGCGCGAAATGAGATGGTGCGACCAACAAATTGGTACTTACAGGTGACTGCTATGTACAAAGGCAGGGATCACAATTCACATCTCCATAATAGCATTTTGGCACATCGTTGTCTTTTTTATTTACTACCAATTCGCATGTACAATATTTGCCTTCTCAAATACGAACTTCCATTCCTTGTACTTTTGTGATTCCTCGTAGTCCATTTTGCACTTCCACACAAGCGCCTCACGACAATCAAGGTATTGGATATCGACGACCATGTGAAGCCCCCTCATGAGTTGGATGTTCTCCTTCACCCCTGTAGCAACATTCATGGCCTAGGGACAGCCAAAAGATTAAAGGGGATAGTATTAGTATTTATCCTCCAAACACAATGAAAATTGAGAGGTAAGTAAAAATTTCTTCATCAGAAGGACAACTCATAGCATATTGAGTTATCAACAGCTCGTTTGACAGCGTCAAACATGCTGTCATATACCACAATAACTCCGCTATGCCAGTACCTTCAAATTCATTGAAACAAATGCTAAAATCAAACTACAGAAACAAAAATGCATTTGTTCACACACGAACACGTCACCGTGTACCTCCAACACCGAGGGTGATGCACCGCAGCTCACGTCGAAGAAGACCTATCCAGAAGCGCGGTACGCAGGCAATCCGGCAAGTGCTTTTGAAGACCCAAAACCCCACACGCCAGGGAGGGACCCCATCAGGGCGCGCGGCGGCTATGGGCTGCCCTAGGTCGGCCTGACCGCCCCTAGGGCCTCGAGGTTCACCGCCCTGCAACAAGAAGAACGAACGAAGAACGAGAAAGAAGAAGAATTAGGGTTAAGGAGAAAAGATAAAAGATAAAAAGTGGTAGATGAATTGATCGATTGTGTGTTGTTCAATCGGCCGTCACCCCTTAGGTATATAAGAGGCGGCTGGACTTCCCGTCCAAGGAAAAGGCTTGAATTCACGTCCAAAACCCTAGTCAAATTCAGATTAGTTTTGTTTGAACTTTCCAAAACTGTTTGGTTTAAACTGGCTGCACCTTGCGGGTCTTTTTTGTGGAGGTAAACGACCTTCGATGGAAACGAGTCCAAAAGCAATCTTGACCATTTCGATGAGACGAACAACTTTCATGTTGAACGGTTTTTGATCAAAGGTCATCTTGAGAGTCAAATCGCTCATTCAAAACAGGCTATTATTCGCACTACCTCGCGCAAAACAGGTTATACTCGCGCTACCCATCAGACAAGGCGTCTTGTGGGGCGCGCCATTTTCTGCCTCTTGACAGAGCTGTATTTCGATGGCTCTAACTTTTGCATATGAACTCGGATTGGAACGATTTTTATATCAAAATCGATCATTTCGACGAGACAAAAACAATCCATGTAGGTCATTTTTTCATACGAGGCGGTCTTGGGGGCGTAATGAGCCGAATAGTGTTCTCAATACAAAATCTTAGTATTTCGAACACAACTTTGGCCTTCGAGATGAGATCGCATGGCGATGGCCCAAACTTCAAAGATGTTCATATCGAAAAAAAGAATTTTTTTATGTAGATCACTTCTCCATTTGAGGCCATATTAATTAAGTTCTTGACCGTGACAAAATCTGGTGTCAACATGCCTCCTTGTTTTTCGGCAAAACTTGCGTGCCGAAAAATAATTTGCAATGTATTTGTTCTAAGGATGATGTCAACACTCCATCGGCCATTTATATTTCTCAGGGCGATAATTATGTATCGGCCATGTTTATGCTAAGGGCGATAGTTATTTATCGGCCATGTCTTTGCTTAGGACGGTAGTCATATATCGGTCGTTGCTTATTTAAACCTCTTGATGCAACTTGGGTGAAAACTTCTCAATTTATATAACAATCTGATGATAAGGTTCCGTAGATATGTATCTCAAAGCCATCCTCCGAACCATATTATTCACCCTTTCGCTAGGATTTTGCAGATAATCAAGAATGAACTTTCACCAATCCTTACTTTGCCTGCATAAAAGTTTCATTAGTGGCCGAGGTGGTGAGCTTCAATTTGGCCTTACCTATGTTGGCAAGAATAAGCATCGGCTATTGATAGATGTGCAATACACCATGACGGACATGGTAGCCGGATGCTTGCTATGCCAACTCTATCCAATTGTCATGTCTAAATATATAAACAATTTTAATGCAACCCAAGGTAAATTTTGCATCTAGACATACCCCAAGATAAACTATAAGTGATTCGTCAAAACATTGATAACCCTTGGATATTTGTTGCACTACTCATAACGAATCACCGGAAGCCTCAATATATATAGCACCTATAGCAAGTAAAAGAGTCAATCCGAATAACAATGCATATTCGGCCTTGATTGATCGTTCATAAAAATATTCTAAGCAGCATGAGGCTTCAAAAATAGTACCATAAAGAGATATATAAACAACACCAACACTTTGTCCATGGCTATGTGAACCATCAAAACATAATCTCCATAGTACTAGAGAGGCAAGGCGATTTTGCTGTCTTTTATAAGAGCAGTTTTTTCATTGACCAAAGGGGTTTCCGTAAACGGAAAGAGCTAGGGAGCTGGGAAGGCGGCCAACCGTTAGCTACCCCCACCTAGCCGAGACGCCGAAACAGATATAATACTATCGCATTGTACATAAAACTACGTACAACCACATAACATACCATGGTGCTACTAGAACACCGAACCACTAGACTATACAAGGAGCAACACAGTAAAAGCATTTCTTTAAGTGAAGAAACGCGGGGTGGATACGGGTGACTCAAATCAGCCTCCATCGTCTACGTCATCTCAGTCTTCATCTCCGTCCTCTTCGACATTGTCCTCATTGATCTTGGAGTCATCTTCAAGATCCCCACTCGTCTCAGAGTCATCTTCACCCCCTTCAAGATCCTCACTCATCTCAGAGGCATCATTGTCTCCATCTTCAAGTTTCTCCAGACCTGCAACCAGAAATAATGTTCTGTCTTCTTCAAGTTCATCCAGACCTACACAAAGAAACGATGATCCATGATTGGGATAGCAAACATTTGTGTTATGAAATTCCTTTAGCCAGCAGACCCAATAAATGAAAAAAACATTCCCCACTGAAAGCATTGGAATAAACCAGTTTAGTAGACCTCCTACATACCCATCTCATGCAATTCGGGACACCACCTGAATAAATTGAAACATGATAGCATTCATTAGGTTCGGAAACAAAAAAGACTTCTATAATGCAACAAGCGGATGTTTCTAGAGTAAAGCAACATATAATGCAACAACAATCTATACACATGAGTGAAGAACAAGTTCACCTGTCTGTGGCAGCAATCACTTCATCATGGAAATCCTCCACTGAGTCATATTGATTCAGGAAATAAACCCCCGTGGCACCCAACACATCGGTTCCTTCAGATTAATCAAAGATATAATTAGTGTTGGTGAAATTTAAAATCCCAGCAATATAATGATAAATTAACTAATGAAATGCAGTTGAAGTATCATATTTTTAGCAAGCAAGTTGGGCATCACAGAAACCTGATATGTGCTAGTTTTTTTCCCAAAGGACCGCATAATAAAATCATCTACAAAACATATCAACGTAAAAAGACAAAGATCTAATCAAGCTGGACAACGATCTCATAAATAAGATGTCATATGAAGCTGGACAACAATCTTAGAAATAAGCATTGTATGGGTATAGGTATGGCGTGCAGGCCAGCCTCCCTTGGATTTTAGGTGATTAACTACCGAAGCGAAGAAAAGGCTGGATCAAGAAAAGGGGGGTACTACAAGCCCTCTTCCCCACGCATCTAACCAGCTCGCGTGGTTCACCGGTTCCACTGTCGTCACCCTTAGATAGGGTTATTCAGTCGATACAGAGATGCGCTTAAAGTGTGGGGGGGTGTGCTGTCCCTATTGGGCTGGGCCCTTCCCCATAAGGCCCCACCGGCGGGGCATAAGCACCCTCTTGCTACCCATATGCAAGGTGCCATCTTAGCCTTGCCTTCCCAGGATCGCTCCCACACCTGTCATGTTCATGATCGGCCTCCTCAAATGTGTATCGATCGAAAGGCAGGGCGGCAGAGCCCCCAACTGACGGGACTAGTTACGTCCAGTATGACCCCCTCGATTCCCGACATGCTATGATACCCCAGGGTGGGTAGGAGCAGGTCGAGTTTGTATCACTGCGGAACAACTGCAGCGTCTGGATCTAATCTATCTACTCGGCAATTCATCCGGTGACTTCACGGTCACCAAAGAAGCCCCAAGAAGCATCAAACATTTCCGATGAGATTCATGG